GAAAGTCATAACCACCCCTCGGCGGAATTCGGTGACAAGCACCTTCTACGTTCCAGCCGCAAGATTAGTGAGTTAAATGCAAATTTACTAAGATCAATGATAGGTTCTGGGATTAGACCAGCTAATGCATTCAATTTCCTTGCTACAGAGGTTGGTGGTGTTGAAAACTTGGAGTGCACTAGACAAGATGCATACAACTTCATTCAAAGGGATAAAAGAAGCTGAATTGAACAGGGCGATGCCAACTCTCTCTTATAATTATTCATGGAACGCCAAAATGAAGATAACATGTTTGCATGGGATTTCCAAAGTGATGACGAGGGCAGACTTACAAGCTTTTTCTGGAGTGATGGGTCTTGCAGACTAGATTATGATTGTTTTGGAGATGCCATCATTTTTGACACTAGCTACCGTTTGAATAAGTATAATTTATGTTGTGGTCCTTTCATTGGGATTAACCACCATCGGCAAAACATTTTATTCGGAGTTGGTTTTTTATCTGACAAGACGATAGAATCGTTCAAGTGGTTTTTCAAAACCTTCATTCGTATAATGGATGATAAGCATCCAATTACAATATTTACAGATCCGGATCAAGCGATGGTAAGAGCTATTGCAGATTATCTTCCATTCACAAGACAGATTATGCCAATGGCATATCTATAAGAAATTCTCATCGAAAGTTCATTGCAGTGTGACATACAAGAGCGTTAACAATCTATTTTATAAATGCATGAGCAAGTGATTCAGAAGATGAGTTCGAAGGTTCGAAGTTACTTGGGTTCTAATGATCGAGCAAGGAAACCTGCACAACAACTTGTGGCTAGATGCATTGTACCGTATAAGACATAACTGGTCAACTGCATTCAATAAAGAAAATTTTGGAATGGGAATCTTGTCTACTCAAAGAAGTGAGTCCACAAATAATGTTTGTCATGGTGCATCTAAGCCCACTAACTACTGATGGTCGGCATCTACAATTCATTGACTGTTTATTCATCAACCTATAGGAATAAGATGCATGTTATTAACACTGGAATAACCAAAGAATTTTAGTTATCAATATACAGGAATAAGATGAATGTTATTAATACTGTTATTAATACTAGAATACCCTAAAACTACATCAATAAATAACCTACGAATAACATACGCACAATACCCTAAAAATACCCTAGGAATAACCTATGCATAACATGCGCATAAACCTGCAAATAACTTAAAAATAACCCAAGAATAACCTAGGAATAACCTGAAAATAACTTAAAAATATCCTCAAAATCAGCCAGGAATAACTTAGCAATAACCTACTCATAACTTAAAAAAAACCCACGCATTACTTCATAATTAACAAAATAATACACTGAAAATAACGTACAAATAACCTACGAATAACATGACATAACCTAAAAATACCCTAGGAATAACTTATGAATAACCTGCGCATAAATCTGCAAATAACTTAAAAATAACCAGGAATAACCTAGGAATAACCTTAAAATAACTTAAAAATATCCTCAAAATCAGCCAGGAATAACTTAGCAATAACTTACTAATAACTTTTAAAATTACTAATAACTTTTAAAAAAAAACTACGCATTACTTCAGAATTAACAAAACAGTACACTAAAAATAACGTACAAATAACCTACGAATAACATGGTATAACCTAAAAATATCCTAGAAATAACCTATGAATAACTTGCGCATAAACCTACAAATAACTTAAAAATAACCTAGGAATAACCTAGGAATAACCTAAGAATAACTTAAAAATATCCTCAAAATCAGTCAGGAATAACCTAGCAATAACCTACTCATAACTTAAAAAAACCTACGCATTACTTCAGAATTAACAAAATAATACACTAAAAATAACGTACAAATAACCTACGAATAACATGGCATAACCTAAAAATACCCTAGAAATAACCTATGAATAACCTGCGCATAAACTTCAAATAACTTAAAAATAACCTAGGAATAACCTAGGAATAACCTAAAAATAACTTTAAAATATCCCCAAAATCAACCAGGAATAACCTAGCAATAACCTACTCATAACTTAAAAAAAAACCTACGCATTACTTTAGAATTAACAAAACATTACACTAAAAATAACGTACAAATAACCTACGAATAACCTGGCATAACCTAAAAATACCTTAGGAATAACCTATGAATAATCTGCGCATAAACCTGCAAATAACTTAAAAATAACCTATGCATTACTTCAAAATTAACAAAATAATACACTAAAAATAACTCAGGAATAACCTGAGAATAAACTAAAAATAATCCACAAGTTAACTTAAAAATAACCCAATAATAACCTACGAATAACCTACAAATAACCTGAAAAATAAGATACAAATAACCTGAAAAATAACCTAAAAGTAACCTAAAAATAACCCAGGTTTAACCAGCGAATAAGATACGCCTAACTTATAAATAACCTACGAATAATTTAAAAATAACACATGAATAACATGGAATAGTTGTCAATAAGTACTACGTTTCGAAGTAACTCAAGAATAACCCAATAATAATCAAACTAATAACCTAAAAATAACTTGAGAATAAAACGATGACAATTATTAGGACAACTTTTCCTCTTCAATGCCCTCATTCATCCTCTTCGCCTCCTTCTTCTTCCTCTGCTTCTGCTTCTTACTTCATTGGCTGCTCAACCTCTGTCTTCTCAGCCTCTTCTAATACTGTTCTTGAGCTCTCTTCGGCCTGCGCATACTCTGGATCATCAAACGCCATCGTCTCACGGCTTCCAAGCTATCGAATGAGGGAAATGTGAAACCCTAGCAGAGCGAGCGGCGAAAACGTAGAAGAAAACCACAGAGAGTATTTTCGAATCATCTTCCTCGACATTCTAAAATGCGAGGTACTCGAATAGATGTGGGCTCGTACATCGGGTCAGGTCGCCCGCAGCAAATTTTTTTTCTTTTTTTAAAAATTATGTGGACAAGCGGGTCCCACATTTTCCACACGACAAAATTTTATTGGTCAGCATACCATGCGGACCGTCAGGTCTCCTGACCAAAAGAGTGCTCCTGATTTTGAGCTTTTATATAATGGTTTGTGTTGCTCAACTCATCCATACTCCTGTTGTAATGGCGTTAGGAAACAAAAAAATTGATAAGATACAAACAAAATGCCAACATAAACCATTCCATTTATTTTTTGATACAGTAACCAATGAAATGCTTCTTCATAAAAAAACAAAGAATCGGTAAAAATAAAATGTGTTATTGTAAGCTAAATTTAAGCATCTACATTTCTTGAAAATCTCATCTTTTCATGCCTCTGTTCTTCATTTACCCCACAAACCCATTGCAGGCTACCCAATGGCCATTCTAAATATCTAATTTGGTATTTCAATGTCCTTGTTAGTTACTATTCAGACATTCTTTTGCATCTTCAAGTCAAGCAAATGAAATTCTCCATAGAAATTCCATAAATAAGCATCCATATAGTTTAATTCTTCCAAGATGAAGGCTCGCAAAATGAATGATATATAACTTCTCCTTCAACTAAGCTTCCATCTCTAATACAACAAGCGTCTAAAAATATTTAAACCCCCATTAACTCATTACTTGCGGAATGCAACCACTGAATGCCTCGAAAGAAAACATCCATATACTTATCTCGCAAGGCAATGGATTAAAATAATACAGTCTGAGGCCGTTTCGTCTGATGAACCCTAGAGCAACCCCTTTGAAAGCCATACTCTCATAGCCCTGATGCATTGGGACAGAGAGGGAAATTACCTCGCCAGTGTGGGCAAAGCAACTGTGGAGATAACTCTCGTCGACCCAATACTGGAGCTCGCCAATCCATAGGGTTCAGATTTCCTCGATGGAAGTGGGTTGGTGGTAGGAGGAGGTGGCTGTGGTAGTCGTCATGGCTGCTGTGGAGGCAGCAAATGTGGTCGGACCGGCTGACCAAGATTACGGATGGTGTTGCGCTTGCATCCATTGATGTTGTTGGTGCGAGGGATCCATTGTCGATGCTTTTGGTCGCAAGAGAGAAGGGATGACGAGAGAGATGAGGGCAGGGGAGGTAAAAGCCGCGAAGGAACGCGGGCCGCTGGATAGACTGCCGGTGCGTTTATTAAAAAATTAAATACACGGTTTCCTCAACCACAGTCTGAATACACTTATGAACAGAAGGGTGGCCCGCACTTATAATCTGCCCTTACGAGTCTGTTTGGGCAGCTACAGCTTATCCAACTTAGGGTCTGTTTGGGGTAGCTGCAGCTTATCCAACTTCTGCTGATAAGCAACTTATCCTGATAATCTGCTGATGAGCAGCTGATCCGGATAAGCTGTCTGGCTGTTTGGTTGGCACTTATGAAAAACAGTTGATTCTGGAAAATTGACCATTCTGCCCCTGTTCTGAATAAGCAGTTTAGTTGTTTGGTTACTGCGTTTTGTAAACAACTTATTTGTAAAAAAAATTTAATTAATGAATAATCTGTGTAGCAGAATTTGTTCTTTTCTCAACAAAATTAAAGATCACTGTTCAGAGAAGAAAATACCAAAAAGTTTATTTATATTTATATAACTAAAATATATTTGATCACATCAAACGAATATGCTACACATACAAAAGTCAAATGCTCCTGCACATACTACTACAAAGTATAATGAGCACCCATAAAAAAGATAAAATTACATGTTAAAATGACAAGTAAAAATATGATAATGTTAACTTTATAATGTAGCAGCATATCACGACCCATGTCATCTGGCTCTGAAACTACAGAACCCTGAGCAAATCTGTCCGACTGGGATACCGTAGAAATGAAAGCACTTGATGCAGATGCAGTGTTCTGAAATGTTGATATCGACGAACTCTGATCTGGGGTATCCTTCTGGGATATCATAGAAATATACTCCCTGTCGGCCCACCTGAAGAAACTGCAGTCCTCTTGTTGTTGTGCCCACCTTGGGCACCTGTAAAATTGCCTTCCAAAGCTATGTGTCTTACGTGACATGAGTAGCAAGGATGGTAGTCCGCACCGACACATCACTTTCTCGGACTTCCCTGAATATCTGGAACTCATCGTCCTGCAGTTTTTAAAATAAGAATATATCAGTCCAAAATTTGAGAAAAATGACATACAACTTTGTACAACAGGTTTTAAGATCCAATAGAAATTATAACTACACCTAATGTTGTCAAGTCGGATAGATATATGACACAAAAATATTTATGGCTTTCAGAGATTGTGTCACATTTATATAATGTTCATGTATGTGGTGCTTTTGTAGCATCATGATTTCTAGATTTTCTCCTCATTTGTTATGAGAGATTATGGAGAATTTTGGTGTGTTAATTTATCATCCTAATTTTGTTGATAGTGGAATAATATCTTCCTATCGACGTAGGCAGATTTATGTGGTACCACGTAAGTCATACGTTTTGTTGTTTGTCTATTACGTGAATTTGTTCTCCACAGTATGTTACAAAACAATTTAGTCCAATTTATGAAAGATAACATTAAAATAAAGTTAAAATATTATAAATATAAGTAGAAGATGCAAATCATCAAAAATTATATTGTATTATTGAACGATTTATAAATATACAGGCTAAGCAACATAAAAGTATGCTTGTCTACACTCCAATACTTCTCATATTTCACATATTGGATTTCAAGTCAAAAAGAAGTGGTGAAAACGATGTCTAGAGTTCTAACAAACTGTTGGAGATTTGGAAGCACAAATCCAATCGAAGCCAAACTTCAGAACATTCAAATAACCTACAAGCTTAAATTCAGCTTAAGCAACAAACATCTAGTATCCACAATTTCTAAGTTCTTACATAAAACATTTTTTATGAAATGCAAAAGCAACCATTTTGAGATGGTAAAGCCAGTTAAAAAAGATAGAATACAGTATAACCAGACTTTCATGATTTTTAATTTAAAAAACTCTGTACAAATTGGAGGAGAGACTCACATGTATTACAAGAACAGGACATGTGTATATGCACCATAACCCCTTTGTAAAGGTAGTAGTAGTTTAGACTAAATACAAAATTCAGACTAAATACAGACTAAATACAAAATTGAGACTAAATACAGACAAAATACAAAATTCATACTTAAATTCAGACTAAATACAAAATTCAATGATGTATAAACTAAACACAAGGTGTAGTAGTAGTTTTTTTTGCATTCTTACATGTTCCCATAAGCCACGAATTAAATTCTGAAGCATAAATATCAAATATAAATAAATGTTTTTAGATGCTAAATTGTTAAAAACAGAATCCAGTAGCTGCCTTTCCCCAAAAAAAGAATGTAAATACCTGTTTTGTTTTGAAGTGAGGAACACATCAGCACATTAAAACTCGGAACTCAAATAAAACCAAATAAATGAAAATTTACATACATACCACTAAATTCCTTTAAAAGGTAAACCTTAGATGCTAGATATGTAAATACATATGAATTGGGTGGTATGTATGTAGTTATCTAAAATAAAGGTAAGCATGAAAAATATAATTCTAAAATATAACGAGAACAAAGAAAATAGGGAAGATCAAAACTAGAAGAGCAGGCTAGAAGAGCATGTACTAAGTTCTTATTCTTCTTCATTCCACTCTCTGTGAGAACAAAGAAAATAGGGAAGATCAAAATTAGAAGAAAGAAGAGCATGTTGTACAGGTTCACACGTGAGAAAGAAATGCAGTGAAAAACTAGGTTTTGATCTATAAATGGCATTATTTTCTTTAATATGTGTACATTTAAAGATAATGTAAGACAATGATGCTGATACAGTCAAGTGTATTTGCCACAATATTTTAGAAGGCCCAATATTTTTATATCATTCAAAAAAAGTAAAACACATATTCTACTCTATAACAAAAGATTCAAGCATATTATACTTTCAGCTATGCAACCATTAGATGACCAAAATTCACATGTCATATTTGTCTCAATGTCCTTTCACATATAATTTGACAATGCCAAAGTCAGTTCAAACCATGCTAGCAAAAACTTGAGGGGCCATGTAATTGATAAAATTAGAAGACAATGGAAACCATGTTGGCATGGATTGAGGACGAAGTTTATAAAAGAGGATTGCAGAATCATTTTTAGAGATGAAGCTATAGAGAGGGGAAATGAGATGTGCATAATTAAGGTTAATTTGGCTACAAGCATGTTGAAGGACTTTGTAATAAGACAACACAAGATATTGAAGCAAAAATTCTATAAAGATATTGAAGCACAAAATCAACATTACGGATTGCAGAATATGATAAAAATTTTATATAAGGTTCACTTTGATATGAAAAAGGATATAAAGATATTGAAGCACAAACGCACTCTCCGACCAACGAATCAGGTTTCCATGTATTTGTGTTTCTAGCACTTGACTTAAATTCTTTTTATACATGTCATTCAATACTTATGTATAGATTTATTGACAGACATATAAATGCATAAGAATTGCTTATAAAAAATTGTTATTTCAAAAAAATTGACTTTGAACTTCGCTATATAATAACTGCACCCACGAGAAGCAGTGTCATGATCGCACAATTTCGTCCGTTATCTGGTTTCGCAATGTCGCCATTTCCCTTGAACCTTCACCTTCGTGCCTGTAAGTATGTTTTGATTCATCCTGGGGTATGGGACGTCCGACATGGAATTCAAATGCTTCTTGGGGAATATGATGCAAGTTTTCATATATAGATGCAAAATCCTCATCAGAGCGTGAGTGGTGTCGTCGTATGTAGTTTTGCAGAGCCATTGTTGCTAAAAATATTTTCACTTGCTTCGGAAATGGGTAGGTTGGCATGTCACGTAATAATACCCACTTCTTCTTCCATACCCCGAATGACCTCTCAATGACACCACGTAAAGAGGAGTGTCATTTGTTAAAAATTTCCTTTCTACCACGTGCAACCCCGCTTGACCTCTCGAAGTCCGAAATGTGGAACTTCGTGTAGGCATAAGGCTTTAGATAACCCCTTTGTAAAGGATATCCAGCGTCAACTAGATAATACTTACCTGCACAAAATACATATTTTAGTAACGACTCAGGAATATCTGATATATTTGCTATAACAACGTACCAGGAGGGGGTATGGAAAGTAATGAGTTTGACGTCTTGTTGCAAATTTAAAAACACGACTATCGTGAGCGCTTCCTTCCCATCCGGCCATCATAAATGTAAAACACATATTAAAATCACAAATGACCATCACATTCTGTGTGGGAGAACCACAACGTCCAATGTAGGCTACTTTGTCGGTTCCAGATACACGTGTATCAACGTGAGTTCCATCAATAGCTCCTATACAATCCTAAATATAAAAATGTTTCAACAATTAATGAATGAGAGTTACCTAAGTTAATAATAAGATGTTTAAGATATACTTTGAAATTAATAAGATGTTTGAGGTATACCTTCAAAAATGGCATATAACGATTGTCATTCGCAATTTGTGCAGGGATGGATTGAAGTCTGGGATCTTCAGGCTTAAGTATCTTAGAAGCTAAACTTACCAGTGCATTATATCTGCTGATAGTCTCTGATGAATGTTGAAATTGCTCCATGGCTCCTCTAATGGACTCATTTTGAGATAAAATATAGAGTGTAATTGCTAACACCTCTCTTGATGTCATTCTAGTAGAGCCATTCAAACCATGATGGTGTTGTAGTTCGCAGAGCAGATCGATGAAAATCTCTTTCGTCATATGAAACATATTTACAAAACGTGTCAGATGGCCTTGTAGTAACTCATCGACCCATTTATTACCAACATATGTTGATGTCATACATGGAGTTCGCTCAATGTATGTGAAGTAGTAGTCATATAACAAAGTAAGAATAAACACTATCTTTCTAACATAGTTCAAATGTTCTGGATTCATCCTACCAAAAGTAGTTCAAAGATAATAGTTAATACATTCAAACATTTAAAGAAATCTAGATGCAACAGTACAACCAGTACAATTAGTACAATAAGTTTTGAGAAAAAACATCCAGTTAAGTATAAAGAGTGAAATAAAAGAAGTGCTAGGAAAATAATACTTCTCCCGAGCCACTTATATTATCAGTTCCAAGAGCATTAGTTGTGCCAATAAACTCATGTTCAGATGGGGTGAAAGCATGTGCTCCCGTTGCAACAACCCATTTGAACATACCATCCAGCTTCTCTTCCATTACTGGATCAATACCATTCATTTTGAATTTCTTAGCTGCTGGCACGACCTGCATGGTGAAGAAAAGTTAATTAGTTAAATCATTTCAATATAACTCAAATTGGAATAAGGAAATGATATAGGGCAAGTCTTTACGTGTAGTTTCTCAGCCCACCACTCCTCAGGAGCATCTATCATTCGTTTTAATGAATCCCAGCCCAAACCTGTAGTTCTCCTCTTAAGTTCTTTCCAAATTTTCCAATCATTCTTTAATTGATCTCACTTGTTCTTAAATTTCATTCTGTCGTAGTCTCTGCCTGTGAGTTCTTTGAATTTGACAGAAACATTATTTCAACCTTCTTTGTTAAAATATGTCGTAGGTCTATTTCCTAGCTCCATCTCTTTAAGACATAGATCACAGAAAATATTTGTTGCTTCTCTGTCCCACATCGCAAATGATCCAACTTCTTTGCCCTTATTCATTGTGGTACTTACTAGTGAAAGGTTAAATAAGAAAAAATGTATTTAATAACATGACCCTAAAACTCCAATACTGACAATCATTCTCAATATTATATACATATATATGTCAATATTACAAAATAAAACATGAGTTCTAGATATCGAAAAACTCATGTATATTTTTACTAAACATGATAGCAAAAAACCTTAAGGACATTTACAAACATACCAGTCAGTTCCTATGTATTTATATATCTAGTACTATACTTTTTATATTTATAACACTCAAATCATTTACATCACATCAAAAATATTACAATTTTAACTTATAAAAAGTAAAATATATGTTTGTATTCATACGTAATCTAATATATATGTAAAAGTTGAAGTTTAGGTTTTAGATATGTGAATATATAGAAATTTAGTGGTATGAAGGTAAATTTCTCAATACTTTAATGTGTACATTTTGTGTTCAAAAATTAAAAGCTTATGTACTTTTTTAAACATAGAGTGTTTGAAGAGCTCTAGTCACACTATCCCCTACCATGGACATTTTCTAAGCATGATGGGTGGGTCTAGCATTCACACAAATGCCCCTTACAAGAGAAAAATGTTCAAGAAACTGCCAAAATTTGCACCAACATGGCCGAAAAGAACAAAATGAAAGGAACTTCATGTACATAAAAAAATTTATTAAATAAAATAAAAATTAAATAAAGATAAAATTGTAAAAAAGAATACTTCAAATGCAATACTCGTTATATCAAATGAACTAATAAGTGCCCAAAATATAACACATTAAAATATAACACATAATTAAACTTACAGAAAACTCGACGAGTGCCAATGAGCACAAATAAGAATTTATTGAGGATTCAAAACTCAAAGAAATACTGAATGCAAGCAGAAAATGCATTGTTCTAAGAGTAAAACAAAAATCTTAATTGCGAACAATCACAACTGAATCTGTAACACATCATGCAAGAAAACCCAATGTAATCTTCAAAAATACATAATAAAAAGTTTGCATGAATCTTAATGAGAAAACAAATTGTAAAAAATTAAATCCTAATAATTTAAATCCTTTACATATAATAAAATGAAATTATAAACTTAAAATGCCTCAAAAACCATGCAAGCATACCAAAAATCATGTGCATGTTTTAAAAGGCACAAAAAATTGTAAAAATCAAAATGTTTGTATGTGCTCTAATAAGCTTCCTAAAAGCTTAAACCAAAATCAGAAAATGTTGTATGTGCTAAAAGCAAGATGAAATCAAATTTCCCCGCCCCTAAAAGTATGCAAAAAAAAAAAAAAAAAAAAAAATAAAAAACAAGTAAAAATTTTAAAATATTTTAAAATACAAGCTCTTTTTCAAAATTCAAACTTAAACTCGATATGTGTGCAAGCTCTCAAGCGGACCACCTTACCTATAAGGAAATGTCCTACGTTTCACATTCTAAGAGATTATAGTTGATAAAAAAGCATCTCAATGAGCATTCATGATGCAAAGTTGAACTAATTACAGTAATAGAATGATTTCAAACTTTCACTTATGATCTAATTTAACAAACAAGTATCATGAATTGCAAATCAGATAGTTAATTGGAAATCCGCTAAAATTATTCTTTTATCTTCAAATAAATTAGTTGAAATCATTAAAAATGTTTATTATTAAAGAACAACTCTCAAGTCCATCTAATATATACGTCAAACCATAAAATCTAACTTTTAGACAAACCCAATCCCTTACATATGGGGACAGTCATTAAAATGTATAGTATAATAACATCTAAATGAACTAAAATGATATTCAAACCATAAAAGAAACTGGTTGATCATGTTTCTAGTAACAATGTTTAATACAGCAAAATACCCTAAAGATGACCATATTGGAAGAAAATATCAACCGGAGAAGACACTTAAACGCACCAAAATTTGAATGTAAATTATTTTATGCTCAAGTTTTAATTAAATAAAAAAAATCAGAAAAAAAACTCTCAAAGAGTTCTATTCTCCACAATATTTTGTAATGGAAGATAAATATGATAAATGGTGGTACATTAGTAACAATGAACATTAGTTTTACCTTCCGAGAATGTAGAAGAAGAAGCTTGCCTACAAGGAAGAGCAGACCGGACGAAATCAGTGAGGGCAGACCTAAAAATCGGGGATGAGATTCTCAGGGAAAGATTTAAGAGGGAAGAAAAGATGAATGAGAGGAGGTAAGATCGAGATTTCTTACCAAAGTCTGAGTGGAAGTTGCCTTTGGCGGAGCAGAAACGGACCAAGGATTCCTCGGCGGAGGCGGCAGAGCAAAGACTTGGCGGAGGAATAGCTTAGAGCTTCGGCGGAGGAAGCGCGGGTCTTCGGCGGAGCGGAGGAAGACCGGAGAGTCGGCGGCGAGAGAGTGGTTCTTCGGCGTGAGGCAAAGCGGACTTCCGCGCGAGGAAGAGTGAAGGCGGAGGCGATCAGATAAAAGGTTTTAGGGCATGATGCGAGGAAGAGAGGCGGAGGCGAGCGAATAAAAGGTTTTAGGGCCAAGGGTGTGCACGTAAAATATGACACAATCCAGCGTTCGAAGCGCTGATCGTGGATATCGACCCGCGATCAGCTTTTCACGGAATCGAAAAAGAGATTATAAAATAAGCTGCGCAAACGCGCAAAATAAACATTGCGGCGGCGGTTTCAAAAACACCGCCGCACCTATACGCTGCCGCAATATAAGCTGCCCTAAACAGACCCTTATTTAGAGAAACTGCTTATCTTGATAAGTTGCTGATAAACAGTTGATCCAGATAAATTGTCTGACTGTTTGGTTTGTGCGTTTATAAAACTAACTGATTCTTGATAAATGACAATTCTGCCCTAATTTTGAATAAGTTGTTTAGTTGTTTGTTTTGTGTGTTTTATAAACAACTTATCTGTAATTTTTTTAAAGTTAAATGAACAATCTGTCATGTAGAAGTTGTAATTTTTTCATCAAAACAACAATGTCTACATATTAAATATTTTAGAACTAATAAAACCCATTGATAACATTACGAAAAATATATACACTTCACCTAAAAGTTAGTATCATGAAACTTAAAAAAAAAAAAAACACATATTTGAAAAAATATCGTACAATTTGAAAAAAAAATAAATAAAAAAAAAATACTCATTTCAAATTTGATAGAAGAATATAAAACTAGAAGATTTATATCAACTATTTTGGTATGAGGCAATAAATTAATTCTAAATAAATATTTTTGTACAAATTTTATTCTTGTTACTTTCGGTCTATCAATATTCTACCTTATCCTTCAATGCTAAATTGTATTTAACAATATTATCAGTTCATTTCTACCCTTGATTAAACTGTCATAAATAGACAATCTTACATATCAATATTAGAAAAAAAAAATATTCAACTACATGTCTAACATGCACAAAAATTTCAAGGCGAATTCACATGTGATTAATAAAATAATGTCATACAATTTAGGCTTTCATACACAATTCAAATGTTCAAGGAACCTAAAAATTTATGTAGTTAAATTCACATACATCAGAATGCATGTACTTCAAGAAAAAAAAAGTCAGTACAATATATCCTACTAAAGGCTATAACAAAAATACATAAATCTCCAACTAATCAATTGAATAAACTTGAATCCCCAGTTCTGTACTGGACACTTTCAACTCAACTTTCAACTCGAAGATTGAAACAAAAAAGGAAAATAATTCCAGCAAGCTCTAAATCAAACAAAGAGCAAGGGCAAATGCAGAAAAGTTGAAAAACATTAAATGATCTAGAAGATCTGCACTAGTTCATTTTTTTAGATTTGCCTTGGCATGCATGTGTAAAGCAAAATGGTATGCTTAATCAAATAAAAATTTTCACAATTCCTAAAACTTACAAAATAAAGCACTAATGTACAAATTGTGTCAAACGTTATATCTTGCAAAAATTGATGGTGGCGGGTAGAGATGTCTTGAGCTTGAGAATATCTGGCAAAAAAGTGATGGTGCACCAAATCGACCATTAAGCTTTCTTAAACGCAAACACCCAGACACATGTAAACACATAAGAATTGTGTAGTATGTATGTAAATTTTTCTAGAACTTACATCTCATATAACAACCATGCAATCTGAGATAATTGGAATGATTATAAGTTTTTGAAAACACATGGATTTGAGTAGCTCCAAGTTATCTTTTATTTTCATTAAAGAGAAATATACATGATATTTTGAAGTGAAATAATGGATTCCAAATAAAAATCTGACAATATATATTTTAATTTCACTGGAGACAGTATGAAAAATTTCTGTTGAATTAAGAGCATGGACTAACTTCTGAATGATTCTAAAATAAATTGTGTACAAGAAGATTCAAAAACTAAATTAAATTTTGGAAAGATATTTCTCCTTTCTATTTTGATCAAACTCTCAATCCTTCTTAACTGCATTCAGTATAATTGATGCAGCATTCATGTTAGGGCAACATTTTTCTGTAATGTAATTTAAACCCTGAGGGCAGAGCAGTTTAAAGATTTGCTCAGCTGCAGCGATATATTATGCTCGAGCACCTTCCTCAAGAATAATTTTGCTAGAATTCAAAAAATTAATCAAGAACGGACTCAGTTTGGAAAACTCCTTCCACGCCTCGTCGAAGAAGAGCAACTTCGCCATGCTGTTCCAGTCGATTGCCTTGGTTGCCTTCACTGCCGTATCACCATGCCGTTCCATTCGATCTGTTTAGCTCGAGCACCTTCGCAACTTTGCCATGTCATTCCGCTCGAGATCTGGAAATCAGCGAGGGTGAGATCGGGAGATTGGGAGGGAGGAGACTGGAAGGAGAAGTACACGGTAGTAAAATTTTTCCCAAACGAGATGCCGGACGCGGGGTTGACGTTTAGGATGAATTGAAGATGCCGGACGAAGGGTTGACGTTTAGGATTAAATCATTCGAACAACCAGTACAATAAACACAAAATCTTGAAACTGGCCCCAATTAATATAAAAAACCCAAGCGGACGCAACAGTTAGGTTGCGTTTTCGAAAAGACACCGCCGTAGCCTCGATTTAAACCCAACACATCGAGCGCCTCTTTGTTTCCATGCTGATTTATCCCTCCGTCCTCACACCGCCGGCGTACTCCAGGAGCACAAATCGCCGCCACCTTGTTTATTTTTTCCGCCGCAAATTTTCAATTTTCTACAGAAATCACCTTACTCCATCACCAATCCCCTTAACTCGAATTATGAGCTCTCTTGACGCCAGCAGACATCGCGCCTTCCAGCTACGGCAGAACCCGCTAACAGGAGAATCGGAATGGATCGTCATCGACGAGGAAGATGAAGATAGTGTTGATGTGACGGCACTTTCTGCTTCACGCTCCGTTCTTGCTGCCACTTCCTACCTCGACATGCTCAACGACTCTCGCCGTAATCGTGCTTTCCGGCTTGCTATCGAGAAAACCATTACGGATCCCTGCCATGTTCTGGACATTGGGTGCGTCTTCCACTTCGTCATAAAAACTTGAACTGTTGTCTGCCTTTTATTTGAATTTTTTGTTGAATCTGTACTTGCTCATGTTTACTTTGCAAATTTTAACCTGGGAATTTATTGGGTTTGCTTGAAGTGCTGGGACGGGCTTATTGTCAATGATGGCAGCTCGAGCAATGATGGGGAGTCCTGCACGAGGGAAGGCGATGGTTTCCGCGTGCGAATATTATCTTCCCATGGGCAAACTAATGCAAAAAATTCTTCGAACTAACGGAATGGATAGGATGGTGAAATTGTTTCATAAGCGCTCCGATGAGCTTCAAGTTGGAGAAGACTTAGACTGTCGTGCTTCTGTGCTGGTAAGCCGTTGCCTCAACTTTTTTTATTTTCATGTTTCATCGGTAGATAATCTGCTTTGGCTGCAAAGCGTAAGTGCTGCTATCCAGTAATTTGAAGTTGAACATAGGCTTCTACTTTAGCTTCTGAGATGCTGAATATCATCCAGCGAGCTCGTCGTGAGTTAAGCGATTCAGATTGTACAATGTTAAAAGCTATTCTGGATCACTGGTGACTAGTTGGAATTAGTGATGCTGTTATTGTTTCATTACAAACTTATATAAGGGAAAGGGACTGAATGAGTCATACACTCCCTTAAAAAAGTTGCTCTCTTGCTCTTCTATGGTTTTTTTTCCTCGCCCCTCCTCCCTTTTTCCCCTTTTCTAGTTTTTTTGCCCTAGAAACCACACTCTGCTATCTTATCCTCCCTACACTCCTACACCCGGCCAAGAGGGTGCCGCCTCTTTGCCTCCATGGATCTCTCTTCTTTCCCACCTCTTCCATTCATCCATGTTAATTGGAAGGGCCTTCTTTCTTCACACTTGTCGAACACTTTCTTTTTCAACCTTTCTTTTATATCTTGCACTGAAAATAAGGTAATCTTCTCTAATGAGAAAATATATGAAGTATCCAAGTAATGGAACTTGGCTCTTATAATATCTCGAACTCTCATTCATCGAGATATTGTCTGCTTTGGCATAATGACCTCATGTTTTTATCCATTTGCTGTAACTTCTCAGGAGGCCATCCATCCAAAAAATACACTTGCACGAGCACACTTAACTTTAGAGTTTTGATGAAATTTCAACCGTTTCAACAAAAAGAACCTCAATTTTTAAGAGTTTAGCTTCACTCTACTTAAGGTGTTTCACAATCATTACCATTTAAGTAATTGACGTCCTCGTCAAAGCTCTAAACCTAGAATCATCCACAAAATAGGTAGGATTCTAGATGTGCCCATTGCAGATTTAGGTGGTGGCTCCCACCATGTAGCTACTTATCCTATTTAGAATTCAAGAGATGACTTCCATGGCACAAGATTTTGTTTTGTATGTCATTTAGTTCTCATATTCAAGCTAGTATAATGTTCTAATACTATTTATAATAATCCGAACACTTGTCCATTAAGATATTATTCGTTTTGCCATAATGGCCTCCTAGTTTTGGCCCATTGGTGTAACTTCTTAGGAGGTGACCCATCTTAGGGGGTCACCCACAAGAGCATGCTTAACTTTGGAGTTTTTGATGAAATTCTAACTGTTACACAAAATGCGTCTAGATATAGATGTTTAAGAGTTTAGCTTCATTCTACTTAAGAGATTTCACAACTCTGGTTGGCTATGCTCTCGACAAGGCATTGTTTTATGGTAACCTCTTTCAAGATATTCACAAATTGTGGAAACTTCAAGGTAAAATTGATCTTATATGTTTGACTGATGATTTTTTTCTCTTCAAATTCACTTGTGTGGAGGATTTTGATATTATTTTTGGTGGGTGTCTCTTGCTTTGTGTTAGAAGGCTTTTATTTTCAAAAAATGGACTCCAATTTTAAACTTGTAAATGAGGATTTTAAAGATGTATCAATCTGGCTTAAAGTTCCTAAACTTTCTCTATTTTAGTTTGAAATTAGTATGTCGAATATAGCCAATAAAACCAACATTTCTCTTGCTATTGACCCCCTTATGAAAAAATGTTTTAGGTCATTTTTTGCTAGGTTTAGTGTTCAAGTATCTACTGGATCTTTTCTTTTTGATGTTATTGCTATTACATTGAATGGTAAAGATGTGTAACAACATGTTTTATATGAATGGAAGCCTTTACCTTGCAAAACTTGTAACACATTTGATTATGACCTCAGTTTGCTTGAAATCTCCGAACTATAAACCACCTACAGTGCTGTCCTTATAGCGTTAGAGAAGTTGCTTGCTTATTAAGTAGACGCCCCCACCCACACACACACCTCCAGAAGCCTTAGCAAGCCTCACAATACACCTCTTTTCTCTCTTTCTAAACCACATTCTGCCCTTGACCTTAACATCCTAGCTCTCGTCCCTGCCAACAACAATTCTCCTATGAATAATTCTCCTACTAAGATTATAGATAATTCTTCTACCTCTGATGGCAATCATATTCCTCCTCTCTGTTTGACAGCTGCAATGGCTTCTTCTTCCTCTCCTACCCATGACTGAAACATGATCTGCCCAGCAGATCTAGTTGGCCCCCAATCAGTCACCCTGCCATTACTGCCTAAGTACTACAATCTATAACATAAAATAACAAAAGGTAGACCTAAAGGAGGGATCTCCCACACTATTCCATTATAGTTGTCTTATTTTTCTAAAATGGTTTCTTGGAATGTGCATGGATTCAATAGTGATATCCATATCACTGATTGTAGAAATCTTATTAACAATTACAATCTTGACATTATTTGTTTACTTAAAATCAAATTCCAGTCGTCTATGATTTCGAATCCCTTTTCCCTTGGACATTTCTCTCTCTTTCTGAAAGAAGTTTCTCTTAATAATTTTAATTGCTCCTTGAATGACCACATATGGATCAAGTGGAGCACTGCTTTTGTTTTTTTCTTTGTTTTAGAGATTAATGTTTATTTTTTTTATGGTGAATTGGTCTTCTCTGTTTGCATTAAATTTCTTGTTTCATTTGTTAATACTTATTATCGTGCAGTTAAAAGGAAAAAAAAATTATGAAATTCTATTATGGATCTTGCTTCTAATATATATGATCCTTGAATAATAATGTGAAATTTTAATTGTATCCATACTCCAAAATGAAAAATTGGTGGCGTCTCCTATCCCAAGTAAGTTCTTAACTTCAATACCTGCATTTGAAATTCTAGCCTCATTACCGCACAATGTTATTCGTTCTTATGACGGTTGCACTTAACAAATTTATAACTCTATTAGATGTTTGCTGGATTGAGCAATTTACAATATTCGTTGGTTGATTGACTACCTATATTCTATCTTTAAAGTCTTAGAACCTCTTACCTCTAATCACTCTCCTACCTTGATCTCCTTGGGCAATAATTTTATACCTAAATGTTGGTTTATGTACAAGAATAATTGGTGTAAATATGAGTAACGTCACGATATTATCTTAAATAGTTGACATCACTATGCTGATAGTGAACCTTTTTTTGCTTTTTACAACAAACTCAATAATATCAAAACTGCTCTTAATAATATCAAGCGTAACTTCTCTCATTATATTTTAACATTATTTATGATCTAAAAAATAAGCAATGTCAAACTATGCAAAACCTTAAGCAACGACCTCTTAAGTATGATCTTCTATACAATGCTCTTGAAATACAAAGAAAACTAATTGATGCCACTTCTTGTGAAAGTGATTGGATTGAAAATGGCTAAATATGCGCATCAAAGATGACATTAAATTTCTTTATCAATGAATCAAAATCAAGCAAGAAAGATTTTTATTGGAGAACTCAATATCAATCATGTTTGATACAATCTCAACTTGATATTGTCAGTGAGCTTGTTGCCTATTTCTCTTCACGCCTCAACTGTTTTAATTACGCTTCAAGTGTGATTTCTTAAAATATTCTTGTGCCATACACCCTCTTTGTTAACTATTCAAATCACTATTCATGTGTGATTTCTTATAATATTCTTGTGCCACACACCCTCTTTGCTTATAGATGCAACTCCCTTGTTATGGATTTTACTTATGTGGAAACCAAAAGTATATTTTTCAGCATTGGTTCCAATAACCTGATTCTTTCATCTCCCAATTCTTCAAAGATACTTGGGACACTGCTTGCCCTTTATGCATACAACCTATTAAATGCTTCTTTGCCACATCCAAACTTCCAACCGTATCCAATATTCAGCTGTTACCTTAATCCCCAAGAAGCCTCAAGCACAAATTTTAAATGATTACATGCCTATATCACTTTGCAATACTCATTACAAAGTCATCACCAAACTCTTTGCTAGTAGAATTAAACTTATTCTCTCTAACTTTATTCATTCTATTCGAGTTGCTTTTCTTTATAGAAGAGATATTATTGAAAATATTATTATTTCCAATAAGTTTTTTCAAGGTTTTAATACATCTACACATCCTAAAATTTTTTGTATCGAAATTGATCTCTTGAAAACTTTTGTATGGTTAACAATAATTTTCTTTATGAAAGAATTTCTACTTTTCGTTTTCCTCTTAGTTCATTAGCTGCAAGACATGCACTTCTCATATTTATTTTTATGTGATTATTAATAGTGAACTACATTGATTCTTCAACTCTACTTCTGGTCCTTTATTTCTTCGTATTTTTACTATCTTAATGGGTGTTTTTTTTCTTGATTCATGGATCTTCGTTATAAAGGTTCTATCCATGTTCTCAACAATTACAACATTATCCATTACATTTTTGCTGATGATCTTATGGCCTTTGGAAAGGCTTCTACAACTTCTACTAGCTACTTATCCTCTGTCTTGGAAATATTTAATGATGTTACTAACCTCTGTGCCAATTCTACTAAATCCACTATTTATTGTCTAAATTTTTGAATGAATTATTAAAGTAGCCCATTTGTGACAATTTGGGGTTCAAAATCAAAGCCTTACCATAGGAGTACTTGGGCATAACTAACATTTCTAAACTCAAAGCTGCTGATTGTTCAAATCATTGACAAAATGTAATATTGGCTTAATGGTTGGAAACAGAAAGTCTTAGTTTTGCTAGTCTATTCCAACTGGTTAAATCTACTCTTTGAAATTATCTCCATTATTGATTTAGATCCTTTCCTTTATTATCCCCAATGGCCTAAGAAGGAAACTTCTCTTATTAAAAATTTCATCCACCATAATGATAAGAATAAAAAAATTCATACTTTTGTGTGGAATGTCATCACTAAGTCCAGAGACCAAGGTGGCATTGGTATTTCTAATATGGTAACTATAAATCTCTTGTGCAAATCCAAAATTATTTGTAGACACTAATACTAACTCCTACCTTTTTGAATGATGTCACAACTTC